AAATTAAAAAAGTCAAAAAAATCAAAAGTCCTTCCTAAATTAAGTTTTTTAGCCCCAAGGCCTCGTTTGAAAACATGATTTTTTTAGTATTTTTTTAGCTTTTTAGCTTTTTAGCTAAAATATGATGTAAAACAATTAGTATGTTTGGAATGAATTTTTAATTTTTTATGAAAAGATATGCAAAAAGTAAAGAGAAAAGAGAATTTTTGACTTTTTGGTATAAGTTGTTAACTTTTTAGTTTTTTTAGTGACTTTTTAACTAAAAAAATTACTTGCCAAACGAGGCTAAAATAGTCAAAAAATTTAAAAAGTCAAAAAATCAACCCACTTCCCAAACGAAAGCTTAATAAATTAAAAAATGACGTATGTAATATCATATTATTGTAAATATATTTACAGAAGTTTTTTTTTTTTAATTTTTTTATAAGAATTCAAAAAATTATTCAGCTTGTTTGATTCTTATTTTTAGAATTCACTTTGCTTGTTTTAGTTTTTGAAAAATATTTTTCAGAAAATTTTACTTTATTATTTTTCGTGTTTTTACTAAATTTTTTAAATATTTTAAGCAATTTTTTTTTAAATTTTTAGACACACTTAACATAAATACACATAAAAATATAATTTTTTTTGTGAAAACAAATCTTTTAAAAATTTACTAAATACCAAAAATACAAAAAATATAAGAATTTAGTATATTTTTCATATTTGTATGTATTTATTAATTTTTTAAAATATTTTTTTCCAAATTTTTTACCTTTTAGATACATCTAAGTAATGTGCATCTAACAAGTAAAAAAAATACTTAAAATTTAAAAAATATTCACTAAAAACAAAAAAAAATACAAAAAGCAAAAAACTCAGTTTTCAAAAAACTTAATCCATAAAACTCAAACCAAACATACAGCAAATTTTTTATTTTTCGTATTTTTTTATTTTTACTGATTTTATTTTTAATATTCTAAGTATTTTTTTTAATTTTTGGATATACATAATATAAATATACTCAGGGCTTGTTTGGCAAGTAGGTTTGGGTTAAAATAGTCACATAAGACAAAATAGATTATTTTAGTCAAATTGGACAAAATGTCACATTCAACCCACAATCATTTTATTTTTTTCTCTCAAAAAAGTCAAAAAGCTTATTTCAAATGAAGTTTTTTAACTCCAGACTAAAATAATCAAAAAGCAAACCCATATCCCAAACGAGCTCTTAAAAAATATAATATGTGTGAAAAAAATATTTAAAAAATTCACTAAAGAGTAAAAGTAAAAAAAAGAAAGAGAGAATTTAGTACATTTTTTTATATTCTTATATATTTATTGATATTTTTTTTATAAATATTTTATTTTTTAAATACATTTAAGTAAAGTGCATCCAAAAAAATTTAAAAATTAATTAAAATTTTAAAAATATTTATTAAAAATAAAAAAATATGTTAAATAACACTTCTAAAAAATTAAAACCAAACACACTAATTCATTTGCTAATTGTGCCATTCAAGAGTTCATTGGATTGGAGATATTCCAAGCGGCCGCCGCTCACAAGGTTTTGGATGGCCACTTTGGCAACACTTATAATTCATCTTAATATTTGTTTAAAAAAATTGACTAATGATGTTTAGCTCTCCAATCTAAAAAAAATAAAAAAATAAAAAAATTGACTAATGATGTTTAGCTCTCCAATCTAAAAAAAATAAAAAAATAAAAAAAAATTGATGTTTGGTTCGAACTTTAAGAAAAAATATTGAGATCCTTAAAAAGTCTATAATTTAAATTTATGTATAATGATATGATAAATTATTTATTTTTATTTTTTGTTATAAGAGAGGTCGAAGTTAAAAAAAACATGTTAATTTTTATTTATTACAAATTCAATCGTGTAAAGTAAACTCCTTACTATATCATTGTAAGTGAATTATAAATTGTAAATCATGAATCTCCATTATTCCCCAATTTCAATATTTTGGCAAAATGCATTAATTTCAACACATATAAATTGAGCGGGCTCTTGGTTTCTAGTAAAAGGATAAGAAGTCTGTCAACAGCAGAGAAGCATAAGTTTTGCTTCTATCAAGTTTGTTTTATTGTATGTTCTTTTAAACATTTCTGTCCACATTACAAAATGTTGCATCATTGATTTTTTTCATTAGTTAGTGCCCTACTTACAATAAGAGTAGTAAAAAATACTTTTACCCCCTAAACTATCACTAATTTGTTTATGTAGTCCTTAAACTATCACATTTTAGTTCTATTCGGTTCAAATGATAGATGCCATCCAAATTATTAATGGCAAAAGCAAAAACATGCCCTGCACATGAGATTCAAAACTGGTTAAGGATAAAATAATTAACAACACTGGAAAGGTTTTGCATTATTATTAGTGTTTATTGAGTTTGATTTTAGATGAATCAACACCGAGAAGACAAACACGCACAAGGTGAAAATTCTATCTTGTAAATATACTTTCTGAATATTTTTTTTCTTTTTGCGTTTTTAATGGTTGTCTGAGTACTTTAAATTTATTTTTTGAAGCAATTTTTACCTAGTTAGGTGTAAAATCATTATTTAATGGATATGCACCATTGTTGGTGTTTATTGGGTTTGATTTCAGATGAAGAAATCCCATCATGTAAATATACTTTTCTGATTTTTTTTTTTTTTTTTTGGTTGTCTGAGTATTTTGAATTTATTTTTTGAAGCAATTTTTACCTAGGTAGGTGTAAAATCATTGTTTAATGGATATGTATGAAGCTTTATTTGTTTAATTTGTTTAATTTTTTGTTATTTTTTATACTCTCTTATTCTATTTTTCATTATCCCAAAATATTAGTCAATTTTTAAAAAGTAAAGAATAAAATAATATGAATTTACTATTTTGTCATTTTTTTAAAATTCATTAATAATACAAAAAGTATAATTATAGAAACTGATATTCTCAAAAAATATATACTATCAAAAGGTAATTTTAAAAAATTAATATTTTTAAAATATAATAATTGTACTATTAAAAAAATTAATTTTTTCAAAATAGACCATTATTTTGGAACGAAAAAAGTAATCACCAATAATATTTCCATGAATGCAGGTGATCATTATTTGGTTTTTAATGGGTTGACAAGGACAAGACATTTCATTCATCGACAAATAATTTGGTGCACACTTTACATGCACATTATAATTAAAAAGACAAATAACATAATTTTAATTTTTTGAATCATAATTAAAAAAGAAAGAAAAAAAATATTATAACTTGAGAGGGGGATTCATAATCTAGTTGTGGGTCGTGGTAGAGGCCGGACAGAAAAGAGGTCCGAGCGCGTTTGGGCCGAGCTAACTTGAGCTAATCCAAAGTGGGTTTTCTCGGTTGAGGTCCAGGGCCCATTCGGCTGGGATGATCGTCTGTCAACCTGGGCTTATTGTTCGCGCATGTAGCTCGGCGGAAAGGTCTCCCTCGGACTGGCCTAACTTGCCTGGAGCTCGGCCGTACTGGAATGCTACTAAGCTCGATTGTCATGGAGCTCAGCGAGTGGCACTGTGGGACTCGTTAAGTAGCTCGGTCGAAGGAGGCCAGGATGATTCAGCTGGGCTGCCCATTCCCGCCAATGCCGAGTGACAGTTTGATTAGGTGGTGTTTAGCTGAATTTGCGCTGACAGATAGAAGAGCAGCTCCATATGTCAATAAGTGAATAGATGCAGAGGTGAGCGCATAAAGTATATAAGCATGACTGCGCCCTCCTTGCTGGGCATGGAAAATCAATTGGTGAGAGAAATTCTAGCGCTCAACCTGCTCCTCTCTCCTTCTCTCTTTCTCTGAGTGTGTGCTAACTTGACCGTTGGAGGGGTTTTCCGGCAACACACCGCCGGGTAGCTCACCGTCGCTGTATTTGCAGGTCAATCGGATAGAAACAGAGCTTGGACGCAAGGAGTACGGACAGCGACGAATATTTTCTCCTCGTACAATTGGCGCCGCCTGTGGGAAACTTTGCAGACACAACCTTGTCCTCCAAGCTCATCGAATCGCCTTCCATGGCAAACAACGACCGTTGTCTGCCATTGACGGTGTTACCCCGGAGTCAGCCAAACGGAGGGATGGACTCCCCGCCGTTCCAAACATGGCGGACCTAGAGACTTCCCAATGAGGACTTCCAAGAGATGCACGAGATAAGCGCACCAGAAGCTTTGGTCACTCATGGAGCCTAAACGGACACCGACGGCAAAGAGAGTCGCACGCTCGACGCCTGGAGCACAAGTTATGGGACCAAGACGCCGTCATCCAGAGAATGACGGCAAAGATAGAAGCTCTCAAACGGCAGGTCAAAGGGAAGGGTGTTGCTGGAGTGGGAGACCACAGTGAGCGCACCCAACCCCGCTGCTCAGGCAGTTAGAGCCAGCGACACACCCCCTCCCTTTCCATCACCAGAAGCTATAGGGTTGGAGACTCGGACACGCTTGTAAAAAAGTCTAGTGCGCAAGATAGTACCTATCATCCCTCACATCCGTCGACGACGTCGAAATATTCCTACTCCGTTCGTTCAGAGGACTTAAGGGATGTCTTGAAGGAGCGAGCACGCCGACGGGAGGCTCAAAGAGTGCTAGCACTCCAGCGGTTATCCTACGGAGGTCACCATAGTGAGGAGGTCATGATGCCGCCGCCCCATTCGGGCATACCAGTCCCTTTGGACATAGATTTGGTGAGGCTGAACGCCTCCTCCTTTTCTCTTGAGATAGAGGCCACGCCGCTCTTAGCAGACTTTCACCAGCCTAAGTTTACGCTTTATGACGGAAAAAGCGATCCATATATGCATGTGAGCCATTTCCGGCAGGTCATGGCAGGACACAGGTGTAACGATGCTCTCATGTGCCTAATTTTCCTATCGAGTTTAGGCGAGTTGGGCTTGAAATGGTTTGAGAGGCTCCCGGAGGAAAGCATCGAAAGGTGGCAGTAGTTGGCGGAAGCATTCGTGACTCGATTCAAAACTAACACCAAAACGCCAAAAGAAATGGACCACCTCCTCAGCGTCAAGATGGAGTCAAGCGACACCCTCAAAGCATACAACGCTAGATACTGGGAAACCTTCAACGAGATCTTGGATTATCCAACCAACCTAGCAATCACCCAATATAAGTGTGGTCTCTCGATCGGACATAGACTGAGGGAATCACTTACAATGAACCAGCCGACTTCCATGGGGCAATTGATGCAACGCATCAATGAGCACATCCGAGTAGAGGATGATGCGGCGGCATCCACTGTGAAGGCAAATCCCGTGGTAACGGACAAAAGGGCGGCTGGGAAAGTGCATGCGGTCGGACAGGAGATAAACCGTCTGAATGGCCGCACAAGAGAGTCAGACCGTGGACTGGACCGTGGAAACCGGGGTAAAGGTCGCCGCAGTGACCGAACAGAATACCCCCACGATGACCGCGGCAGATGCAATCAGAAAGTTGAATGCTCGAACGGGAATCACTATAGTTTTCAAGATTCCAATTTATTGCATACTTAGTGCAATCTGCGACGAGGATTACGTTCGGTTTCCCGCCAAGTTAGGCGATGTGCAAAAGGGTTTCAATCTGCATATTCCATGGAGAGCAAGGGCACCGGACGGAGGACTATTTGCCCCTAAAGCAACACTTGGAGAAGCTGGTCGCAGCCGGTCAGTTAGACCTTTATATCAATGGGGGCGTTAGAGTAGCGCACTATTACTCGGCTGATCCAAGTGGTTCGAATGATGACCTAGAGGCCCCCCTCAAGGAGTGGTAAATGTGATTCACGGCATTATGGAGCCAGCGCGGGTTTGCGAGCTCCGAGGGATGATAAAAAAGGCGGAACATATGAGGGAAGTTTTGTCAGTTCATCTCGCAATCAAAAGGGGCAAGACCGAGAAGAAAGATGTGATTAGTTTCTCAACTAGGGACCTTGAGCGCATTCAAACGCCTTACAACGGCGCCCTAGTGTTCACCCTTCATGTCAGACACTTCGATGTTAAGCGCATCTTGATTGACCAAGGAAGCTCGGTTGAGATCATGTACTATGACGCTTTCAAGCAGCTTAAACTTCGGCATACAGATTTGGCTCTGGCAACTTCACCATTAGTTGGTTTCAACTCACAACCGGAGTGGCTGATGGGAAAGATAATTTTACCAGCCAAAGTTGGATCCGTCGTCAAGCAGGTGGAGTTCTGGGTATTGAAGGTGCCGTCCACATACAATCTGATCTTAGGTAGGGGATGGCTTCACGCTATGCAGGCGATAGCGTCAACCTATCACCAGGTTATGAGGTTACCCTCGGCTATGGGGGAAGTTGAGGAAATTTGGAGTGATCAAGTCATTTCGAAGCAATGTTTCATGGCAGTGAATGGGAACCGAGTTGTCAAAGGCTTTGTGCAAATGATAGAAGGTCCGGAAGGCCAACGTGTCCTTGAAGACGTGGGCACCAGGGCCGAGGAAAAGGTTGTTGAAGAATTGGTAGAAGTGCGGTTCGACATAGAAAATCCTAGTAAGTTCTTTTTGCTAGGGTCAAGCCTGACCGTCTAAGAAAGGACTAAGATGGTAGAGTTCTTGATGGCAAATATCGAAGTCTTCGCATGGACGCCATACGACATGCCTGGTATTGATCCAAGCTTTATCTACCACCAACTCAATGTTTTCCCGGATGCACGTCCCGTCATTCAAAGAACGAGGAGATTGGCCCTTCATCACGCCGAGGTAGTCGCGGAGGAAGTGAGGAACCTACTAGAAGCAAGGGCCATCCAGGAAGTGCACTACCCTCGGTGGGTTTCAAACACGGTCGTAGTGCCCAAGAAGAACGGAAAGTGGCGAGTTTGCGTTGATTTCAAGACGGTCAATCGAGCTTGCCCTAAAGATAGCTTTCCTTTGCCCAAAATAGACCAGCTAGTGGATCTTACGACTGGGCATAACAGGCTCAGTTTCTTGGATGTCCATCGCGGTTATCACCAGATCGCCATGCATGCTCCCGACCGCGAGATAACCTCTTTTACCACCCCAAGGGGACTGTTTTGCTATCGAGTCATGCCTTTTGGTTTGAAGAACCCCGGGGCGACTTTCCAAAGAATGGTGACCAAAATGTTCGCTCCCCTGCTAGGCTGGACGATGGAGGCTTACATCGACAATATGGTGGTCAAAAGCAGGCAGAAGGCCGACCACTTACCCGACTTAGCCAAGATGTTTGCCATTCTTAAACAGCGCAAGCTTCGCCTGAATACGTCAAAGTGTGCCTTCGGCGTAGGATCTGGGAAATTCTTGGGCTTCCTAGTCACAAACCGAGGCATCGAAGCAGACTCCTCACAAATCAAAGCCATACAAGAATTGAAGCAGCCCAACTCAGCGAAGGTCGTGCAACATCTTGTTGGCATGACAGCTGTGCTTAACCGATTCATAAGTCGATCATCAGATTGTTGCCACCTTTTCTTTAGAGCCTTGAAGTCCAAGTTTTCTTGGGACGAGGAATGTGATAGGGCTTTGGCCGAGCTCAAGACGTATTTATCTTCCGCCCCACTATTGGTGACACCCAAGCCCGGCGAAGAACTCTACCTTTATCTGGCAGTTTCTCAACACGCAGTTAGTGCGGTGCTTGTCCGGTCGGAGGGCATCCAGCATCTCCCTATCTTTTATGTGAGCAAACCTTGTTGCCGACAGAGTCGAGGTATTTGCCACTAGAAAAACTTGCTTTGGCGCTAATGATGGCTTCTCAGAAATTGGCGCACTACTTTCATGCTCACACAATCGTAGTGTTGACCAAATTTCCTCTAAAGGCCTTGTTTGAGCGGGCAGATTTCTCTGGTAGAATTCTGAAGTGGGCAGTTGAATTGGGACAATTTGATATCAAGTTTTGACCCCGAACTGCCATCAAAGCCCAAGCCTTAGCAGACTTCATTGCGGAATTCTCGCTTGGAACTCACCAGGTATGCCTGGTGGATCTTACTGTGGTAGCCGAGATGGCAAATGAAGGCTCAACAGAAATAGCATAACAGAGTGATGTTGGTGACACAGAGCTTGCGCACCCATCCATAGAAACTTCAGTCGGAATTGTACCCTAGCCTGGCAATGTGACGATGGACTTGGGAATAATTGACCAACCTGTTGGGTCTGGAGCCGCATCGCCAAGGGAGGATGAAGACATATCTATTGAAACCATCAACGGCGAGTTTGCAACATACATAACCGAGCAGCCAAGCGACCATGATGCCATCAACCTGCAGGCCTCCAAGGATCCCGTAGAAAGTTAGAATCTTTTTGTTGGCGAAATGCGAAAACTTTTTGTAGATGGTGCCTCAAACTGGCACGGCGCCGGGCTGGGCATTGTTTTGATCTCGCTCGACGGGCCTAACCATCGAACACTTTATTACACTCGGATTCCCAGCGTCAAACAACAAGGCTGAATATGAAGCGCTGCTGGCCGAACTTAGAAGCGCCTTCCAATTGCGCGCATCTGAGCTGATGGTATACAGCGATTCCCAACTCGTCATCAACCAAGTGTCTGGAATCTACGAAGCCAAAGATAAAAGAATGGCCAAGTACTAAGCTCTAGTGAGAGAACACATCAAGGAATTCCAAGCAATTAGGGTCCAACAAACTGGCCGTGAAAAGAACGACCGAGCAGACGAGTTGGCCGGTCTGGCTTCCATGTTCCACAATTCAACTCCCAATCCTCTCCTAATTGAGTTTTTCCCAAGGCCTAGTATCAAGGACTCTGCGTAGACGGAAGTACTCTGCACCGAGCTTGACCCCTCTTGGATGGATCCTATCATCCTTTTCCTAAAAGAACGAACTTTTCCGACCGACAAGAAGGAAACACATAAAGTCAGGGTGAAATCAGAGCGGTTTTGACTCTCTCTATCTGGTGCTTTATATAAGAAGTCATTCACAGATCCGTACCTCAAGTGTGTTCATCCAAACAGCATGGAAGCTTTCATGTACGAGATCCATGAGGGTATGTACGGAAGTCACATCAGGGGGAGATCTTTGGCCTACCGAGCTATCTCAGAAGGATACTGGTGGCCATGCATGCAAGCGGATACTCAGAAATATGTTAGAAAATGTGAAAAGTACCAGAAGTTCGCCCACTAAATTCACCAGTCGGCCAGAGAACTTCTTCCTCTCACAAGCCCTTGGCCTTTTGCAGTGTGGGGGCTAAAATAGTGGGACCACTCCCAACAGCACCGGGCAACCGGAAGTTCTTCATTGCGGCTATGGACTACTTCACCAAATGGGTTAAAGCTAAGCCCTTAGAGACTATCAAAGAGAAAGATGTCAAACGGTTTGTTTGGCAGAACGTGATTACGCGGTTTGGCATCCCCAAGGTTCTGATTTCTGATAATGGCACCTAATTTGATGGGTGCCTGTTCAGAGGATTTTGTGAGAAATTGAAGATGGAATTCTACAACTCCTCTCCGGCTTACCCACAGTCCAATGGCCAAGCTGAAGCATCGAACAAGACCATTCTTGATGGGTTGAAGAAAAGACTCGAGAAAGCCAAAGGAAAATGGGCCAAGGAACTCTCGAGTGTCCTCTGGGCATATCGGACGACCCCGAGATGCTCGACCGGGGAAACTCCTTTTGCCCTGGCATATGGCATGGAGGCGGCCATCCCATTAGAAATCGGCATGCCCACCATCCGTAGCAAAAATTTTGAGCCCGAGTTGAACTTTGAAGCCATTGCCCTAGAATTAGACCTAGCTGACGAGTGACAAGAAAAGGCTTTAATCCATGTGGCCTCATACCAACAGGAATTGTCCAGAAAATACAACAAAATGGTGCACCCCAGACCGTTTAAAGTCGGAGACTGGGTTTTGAGGAAGGTGATGGGCAACGCACTGGTGCCAGGCGAAGGCAAGCTAAGGGCAAACTGGGAGGGGCCTTACAGGATTATCAGTTTGGCGGGCAAGGGGGCATACCACTTAGAGGACTTGGATGGCAAAGGCGTACCTTGGCCATGGAATGCGGCTAACCTCAAACTGTACTATTTCTAGTATTTGTCTTTTTTATGTAATTTTTTGTGGAAGGACTTAGTTTCCTTATACTTCTGAATGTAATACTCTTTTTGCCAAGTGTAATAGAAGTAAATTATCTTTGCTGAAGAAGTTTGTTGTGTTCGAGGTAATGTAGCGACTGAGGGACATACTCTCATGTTTTAGTCGAGATGATTTACCCCGGCTAATAGAGTTGATGTTTTGCTCAACTCAAGGCTCTAGCCGAGATGCTTTGTCCCGGCTAATAGAGTTGATGTTTTGCTCAACTCAAGGCTCTAGCCGAGATGTTTTTCCCCAGCTAATGGAGTTGATGTTTGGCTCAACTCAAGGCTCTAACCAAGATAACCTACCATGGCTAAAAGGGTTGGTGATTTGCCCAACTCAAAGGTTCCTGCCGAGATGATGAAATGTAGCATAACAAGCAGTGCAACAGTAAACAAAATGAGAACTTTTCATTGATGATAAACTGTAGTACAAATGGTGGGGCAAGAAGGCAGCCCGGTTACATTTCCCCAGTTCAAAAAAGAAACACACACAAAAAAAAGACTAATCCAGGGGGAAAAGGTCAGCGAAGTCGTCCCCGGTGCTCTCTGCAGTAGCCTCCAGGTCAACCGTGGAGGTAGTTTCACGGATGCTGGAACCAACCTAGTGGGCCTCATTTGGGCGGCCCGCTTCCTCGGGGTCCGCGTCCTGTTCTACCTCTTCCTCGGCCTCCTCTTGAAAAGCGTTAAAGACTTCGTTCGCATATGGCACCATGTAGGTCGGAAGAAAGGCAACAGAGGAAGAGGCAAACACCTCGGTTCCAGATCCTTGGCCGAGACGTACAAAGGCAGCCTTCCAACCGGACTTAAAGACAATGTCCTTGGTGGCCTCGACCTGCTTGGTGTAGTTGTCCTTGGCCTCCTTGAAATCGAGATTGTTTGCAGCGTCCACTTCATCTTTTCTTGATTGCTTTAGCGCTTCCAGCTCGGCTCAGAGAGCGTCTCTTTCTTTCTTGGCGGACCCAAGTTGGCCGAGCAATTTGGAGTTGTTTGCGTTAGCAGTCTCCAAGGAAGCTTTTGATCGCCCCAGCTCGGCTTCCAGGTTCTTGACCTGACTGGCGGCGTCAGTCACCTTTTGCCGGAGTCTATGAATCCGGTCCATCACAAGATGTTTCTTCTGGATGGCCTGCAATAGGACACGTTAAAAGTTCAGAAAAGGAGAGTAACCGTGCAAACACTTGAACGAATTTGAATGAAACAAGCAAAATTCTTACCCAGGTCATAGACTTGACCGAGGACTTCACGAGCTGGGTGTTCGGCACGTGGTCGCTGCCGGTCACGTCGCTCGGCAAGAGTAGAGCCTTTGTCAGGTCGAAAGCCAGGAGATGTTCTTTGTCGCCTTTAACTGAGGCGTTCACTGGGATCTCCTTACCCTGGTACTTGAACTGTGGCTGCCATGGGGGAGTTGGCTCCGAGGCTTCAGCTGGTTGCTCAATGCTCAACTCAGCAACAAGCTCGGCTGACAGATCTGCAGACTGAGGCTTTTTCCTACTCGGCGACTCTC